CCTCCCTCATTCCCTTTGCCTCACCCCCTTCCTTCCCCATCTTCAGGTTGCGCCTGAAGCCCTTCCTTTCCGACCGCGCCTACGATCACCTTCCCCCTCCCCCTGGCTTGGCCTCGGGTTCCACCATTGTTAAACGCTCTGAGACGCCGCCCGGCATAGGGCAGCGCTATATAAGTGCAAGTTGTTGTTGTTATTGGCTTTTGGTTTGCCCCCAAGTGAGAGGACCAGCGTTCCAAGCTCTGAGTCGGTTCGATTTCCATAACAATTAGAGAGATGTGCCAGCATTCCACATCACAAAAGGACTATTGTAGATAACTTGAGTGTGCGATGGTTCTTTTAGCTTGCGTTTCCACAGACAGGAAGAGCAAAATATAAGTGGAACTGTCAACAATCAGAATTCTTAACAAAACTACACTTATTGTGCTGTATTACCAGTTCCATCTGGTCTCTGTTTCTCGCTGGGGGTATAATTTCACAGAATTACATTGACTGCACAGCACTAAAACAGGCCATTTGGCCCGACTAGTTCATGCTGCTGTTTGTATTCCACAGGAGCCTCCACCCATTCTAATCCCCTCTCTCTCCCCCCTTCTATACCCCTCTATTCCCTTCTCCCTCAAGTGTGCAGATTATGTTCACAAGATCACAAGATTGGTTCAGATGAAAAAGGCCATTTGGCCTATTTCCTTACAGAATAGCCACCTTACTGTCTTCCCCTCCTCCCATCACAGCATCAAGAATCATAGGATCATACAAGCTTACAGCACAGAAGGAGGCCATTCGGCCCATCGTGCCTGTGTTGGCTCTTTGAAAGAGCTATCCGATTAGTTTCGCCCCCCCACCCTGCTCTTACCCCATAACCTTGCAAATGTTTCCTTTTCAAGTACCTATCCAATTACCTTTTGAAAACTACTATCGAATCCGCTTCCACCACCCTTTCAGGCAATGCATTCCAGACCGCAACAATTCTCTTGGGTAAAAAAAAATCTCCTCGTCTCCCCTTTGGTTCTTTTGCTAATTATCTTAAATCTATACACTCTGGTTACCGACTCAGGGAATCACACCCTGGTCCTTTCACATGGGAGCAAACCAAAGACCAATAAAACTAAAACTGCTATCCACTGCTACGCTCTTAAAGATGGAAAGAATGCATATTAACATAATAGCATAATTGACATTACGTTTCAACCACAGGGGTGAGGAAAAACTGACATCGCTTTACGTCGCTCTGTATAATATCGCTCTTATCAACATTCTCGGTTGCGGAGGAGTCTTGTGGAACTAGACTGATCTTCAGGAGTGTGGCTTTTGGAAAGATATGGCAGGTCTTACTGGATAAAGTTAAGGCAGGGGAAAGTTGGTCTAATTATCGCACCAAAAATAGCACTGTAAATATGGATAAACACAACACATGTAGGTTCAGAGCATGAGGCTACCAAATAGATTATGAGGGGGAGTACCTGATTAAACCACTGGTAGGATACATCATATAAAAATATTGTGGTTTGGTTTTTTCCACTTAAAGAGCTTTGACAGCATATTAAACACAAACCCGTCGACGCAACAATTTTCTGTTTTTTTTCGCGCACACAAGTGCATTTTATGTATCTCATAAAATCAAAGAAAACCTTACGGTTTCAGAAGGCGTTACCTTGGTTTGGTTCATTTTACACTTTCCAAGATCCATGCTGGCTTCTCCCACAGGTTTTAAGAAAGAACTCGACAATTTAAAATGTTCCTTTTATGCTTTAACGATATACTTCCCACCTGCAATCCCAGGATTGCATTCCCTAAAAACAATATCTCCGCCTGTATGTATCCATAGTGCAGTGTTGTGGACAGGCACAAACCATATTTTAACACACGAACGGTGTGACTGTTAATCTGACACCAAATGTCAAATATCTGTCCCAATTTGATGGCACTTTGCGCTAAAGACAATAATAATAATGATCCTTGGATTTGACATAATGCCTTATCATGTCGTTGAGACGTCTCAAAGCACTTCACAGAATATGTTATAAAGTGGATTGATTGTATATTTTGTGGACAAAATACACTTTCAGTCACATTTAATCCTACATGATTGACAACATGATTGACAACAACTTCCACAGTGTCTCTGATGCAGACTCAACATACGATCAGTCCTAAATATAACTTGTTCCGCAATCTCACGTGAAGTCAATTGGATTCAGGAAACTATTGAACGACGTGTTTTTTTTATGAAAGCGAACAGTGTGATCTTGTTATTGTCTAAGTCTACTTATTTTCGTGTAATTCGAAAATCTCAAAGCATTTCCTGTTAATGTTTAGATAATGTGTCGCGAATAAGCAATTTCCCATAACCGTGTCATATGATGTGTCTAAACATAGAGGAATAATGAAACGTTGATAATCTGCCTCTTTAAACAATGTATTTTAAATGTAACAGTACAACTCAAAAAACAGCAAGTCCCTCGATATCTTTTCCTTGTTACAAAATTATTCTCCGTCCCTGCCTCATTGTTTGTGTCCGAGACTGTAGTTGTCGACGTGTGTTCTTCTGCATATGTCTCTTTTCATCACGTGTGTATCTTTCTTGAGGATGAACTGATGCATCTCTATCAAATTCTTTTTCTGTTTTTCTCACCATCTGAGCTAATCCCATTTTTTTTTTTGAAAACCATAATAATTTGGCCACTCAATCCACGACTGCGTTGTGGGACGCTACTCAACGACGTGATAAGGCACAATATCCAGCGCCTTGGGACGTACTCCTGACGTGAAATGTAATTTTTGTTATTATTATATTATTATTGCTCCACTCAATTGCACGATGTTAACAGATAACACCAGATCTCACCTCAAAAAAGTGACATGCAGACAAACACGATGGTTTCCCCATCCAGTATACACATCCAACCCTATTATTGCATTAACACGCAAGAACACTAATCCCTTAATCCCTTCTCATTCTTAGCCGCATCACTATATCTATCCCACCCCATTGGTTCTGTATTTCCTTTTGTTTTATTTTTTTCTGAAAGACCTTGCCTCGACGATGACACTCCTGACAGGATCCTTATAAATATTTAAGTGGTTACCATATCTATAAATGGTCATTTGGAGTCGAGGTAATATAAAAGAGATTTCCTGTTCCAACTCCAATACAATGTTGGCGATGTTCTGCTTTAAGGAAGCTGTCCTTCAGACGAAATGTTAAACCGAGGTCCTATGTTCATTTGGATGTCCTATGTTCATCCTGTTCATTTGGACGTTAAAATGAACATGGACTTTGGGATATTGCTGTGCGCTAATTGGCCTTTGCCTTTTGTTGCAAATATGCGTCACTACACCTCACAGTAAATCCTACAAAGTGGTTTGAGACATTTCAGCAACAGTCAATAATTAACTGCTATGATCAAGTTTTTATTTTTTTCATGAACAGGAATGATTGGGGTCTGGAATGGCGTCTGGAACTTTCAGATTGTTGTCTTGAATTTTTTTTACTCTTAGCAATATTTCTTCCCCCAGGTGGAAACCTGACGGGGGCTACAGTTCCACTGATGGCCCTCTTGCTGATTGATATGGGTGCCCGGGTTAGCAGGTCCAGGCTAGTTACACATCAAGGTTGGCAATGCTCCCGAAAAACAGTGATTTCTTTAGAAAAAAAAAGCTACAAAGATTTTAAAACCAAATTAAGAAATACCATGAGGCTCAGAAGACATCAATATATTCTGTTAAGGGTATCTCTTTCGAGTTATCTCCTTTTAAGTTATAGTATTGACTTGTTTTGAGCACTTACTGTGGTTACGATGTCTGCATTTCAATGTGTTTTGAAAGTCTGGTGATGCATTTGTCTGAGATTGCAAGGGGCTCAATTATGAAGGAGACAGGAGACTATGATGATAGCTAAGGAAAGACACCCAAAAAGCTGATATGAACCCAAATACGACACCCAGATATAAATTAAGGCAAATCTGAATTTTATTTGAAATGCTTGTATAAAAATAATTTTCTTCATTTCTATTTTAATTTACAATTCTAATCAAATGACAATTCAGACTCCAAGCTGCATACATGCAACCAAACTAGTGTACAGTGAAGATATTTTCTATACAAAACCGACAATTCAAAATCTGCAGTGGTATTGTATTCTATACAACAGGAGACTGAATAAGCATTAAAAATACACAAACCGACAGGGGAGGGAGAGAGGAAAGTCTAGACATTAAATACATATTCAGTACAACATGCATTTAACAGAAGTGCTCAATGACGTACAGTATATACAAAGTATGGAATTTGGTGAAGTCATAATTCTCTGTAAACAAAAGTGAATTGAGTGAAAGTCTGACATGATCCATTGACAGCGTGTGGGCCTCCTCATCTGACCGAATAAAACCATATTGTTGGAATGAACAAGTTTGTTGGAAGGTAGTTGTCCACAAATAAATAAATAAATTAACCCACGTGCCAAACCTCCTTTTGTTTTCTAAATATATATTTATATATTAAAAAAAACTCAACTTCACTCAAATAAATAAAGACAGCACTGTTGTAGGCTGCGATAACCAGAATTTTAAAAAAATAATGTACATTTTAAGATATTTTTACAGATATTGTATATATATATATATAGTCTATACATATATATTACATATACACACCCTTTTACAAAGGTTTAGAGTTTATTCATTGCATTGGTTGTGCACTGATGATGATACTGACGTGCCTTGGCTTCTTATTTGAGTGTGTTGGACAAGCAAGACCGCACGAAGGAGAGTTGAGGTCATTTTGTCGAATTAGTGGCGATCAATAGGCGGAGAATGGGGTTGGGAAGAGATCTTTTTCGACCCTCTCTTAATTTTTTTTTGTTTCTGTCACCGTTGACAAACAAAGGCTGTAAACAAAATAGTGACGAGAAGGTCCCTGTGTGTACGTACGAGGATTGTGCGAAAGAAAGTTTTAAGTTCGTTCAGAAGCAGCAGTACGGAAGTTCAAGTATTTTCTTTTTTAAGTAAGTAGGATCCAGCGTTCATAAAAGGCACTCGCAGAGGAAGAGTCAGGCTTGTCGTGATGCACGATTCAAGTTAATGACAACTGAAGTTTGTTGGTTTTCAATCTGGCCATTCAGCACTCCTCTCACTAATGAGACTCCGGATTCTAGTGAATGTGACCCGAGGCAGCGAGCTATTTGGTTCCTCTTAAGGAAGGCGGGAGTGGAGGCAGTTGACTTTCTCAGGCATCGATTGCCCTCCTGACACAAGTCCTAATTTGCTTGCGTCGCCACTTGGCTCAGGCTGTGCAGTCTTAGTCCAATGGCATCTTGTGAATCCATGCAACTCTGCATCCAGGGGTGGTTGATGATGTCTTCAAAGGATGGTCGCTCGGAAGGCCTCAGGGACAGACATGACCTGATGAGATGCTGACATTCTGAGGGCAAACAAAAAAAAAACCACGTTACAAAACTTAAATAGAGAAAGAGAAGAGCTTTCATGCCTTGCTGTGTCTTTCACGTCAAGAGGGCGCCTCAGAACGCTTCACAGGACTTATTGTGAAGTGTAGTGACTGTGTTTTGGAGGCAAACGCAAACCAACACGGTTTTGACAGCCAGGACCAGCCGGGAATGTGCTTTAACCACGACTCCTGCAGATTCCAACCCAGGAGAAACAGAACCAAACTCCTAGCTTCTGGGTGGGCAGATAATACAATCCTAACCACAGAAGCGCTCTGGGACGCTACCTTGTGTGAAGGGCGCTCTATCATTGCCAACTTGCTGTTGTTCAGCCCCACAAAGCCAAGCGAGTTCGGCAGGCAGGAAACGAATGCACGAAAATCCATCAGTGATTATTCATACACTTTTTCCAGGTGCCGCCAGCCTTTTAACACTCAGCATATATGGCCTTAAGTACAGCGGTGACTGACTTAATCGACGCGTACTTTTGAAAGATGGGAGCCCTTATATTGGCTGGAGGCAGAAATCTAAGACAAGGCAGGCGGAGGGAGGGGGGGTCTGATAAATCCAAGCAGCAGCTTACCAGCTGAGACCCTGCGCCTGAAGAGGACTTGTCCTGAAATTATCTCCTCGTCCTGCTCAAAGGGGATGTCCCCACACACCATGTCGTACAGCAGCACCCCAAGGGACCACACCGTTGCTGATCTGCCGTGATATCTGTGGTAACGGATCCATTCAGGTGGGCTGTAAACTCTGGTGCCTGCAAAACACAGTAAAAAAAAATGCATTCATAAGTACGTGCCTTCAAATATTATTATTATTAACAATAATCTTTGCATTTGAAAATAATAATCCTTGCATTTGATACAGTGCCTTCTCACGTCACTGACACACCTCAAAGCACTTCACAGAATATATTGTAAAGTGGGTTGACTGTGTATTTTGTAGGTGAAATACACCGGCAAAAAAACACTATACTGGCTAAAAGTACCAAGTCACTTAAAAAACTGTTTGGTGGTATACTAAATTACCACCTGGGTCTGAGAGAGGATTTAAGTTTGCATTTTCTAGACTCGCATGACAATAATTTTTTGGGTGCAGTTTGCTTCAGTTCGAAAAAAACAAATCTGCTCAACAGTTTTATTGCGCGAATAAAAAAAAAAACACCCCCAAAAAAAAAGCTACCCGCGTTTCACATCAACAAGAGTGCAAAGGCACTGCAAAAAGAAAGATTCAAATCGCGCTGCATTATCTCGTTCCGCCCATAACTCTGCAGGAAATGTGGTTAAACCACTCTTCCTCCCTGTCCTGGCCTGAACTTGTCAGTTATTGAATCGCTGCCATGCAAGCTTTTGTTTACAAACTTTGGGTTGTAAAACCACATGCTCCAACCGAATGGTGGCGCCAAACCTTGAGGTGTGATATCTTTAACTCCAGCTCAAATCCCAACGATCAAAAAAAAACCAAAGCCTCCAGCTTTTTAATAATAATCCTTGCAATCGACATTTCACGTCCTCCAGACGTCTCAAAGCGCTTCACAGAATATACCGCGAAATGAATTGACTTGTATATTTATTTGTTTTTCTCTCTCTCTCTCTCTCTCTCTCTACCATCTCCGAACAACACGACCTTAATTCTTCCCTCCTCCCCGCTCCGCCTCCAACCACCGGAGAGCAACAGAAGGATTTCACCTCTAACTCGAGGAGCGCTCACTTGATATCTTTATAAACGCTCTCGAGCGCACAATAAAATAAAAAGCGCGTTTTTTTAAACTGCAGTTTAAATGGGAAATTCTTTTTATTTATAAACCCTCTGAAACATTTTTTTTTAAAAAAATAAAATAAAACAGCGGCGTAAGGGTTGACCAGAATTCGACAAATTCAAAAGCTTTGATGTGCCCTTTGTTTATGTTGAAACCGAAACATTTTGCGTTTGGAAATGTTTAGTCTCGTGTCACGTTCCGTGTCCGTTTCAAAAGGTTCTCCACTCCCCCCCCCACAAAAAAAAATTCCACCCACCCCACTCTCTTTTCCTTCTCTCTGGCAATTAATCATCAAAGGGGGGGGGGGAGGAAATCAATTAAGATTTTTTTAAAAAAGCGGCTATTATGTTTCAAAACATTTCCATTACGAAACCCAAGGACTCAGGGAAAGAAAAGGAGGTGTTTGAGTGAGCGCGTGAGTGAGTGAGTGAGTGAGTGAGCGAGCGAGTGAGTGAGTGTGGGGAGGAGAGGTGGGGGGGGGGAGAAAGAGTGGCCAATTATTCCATCCCATGGGCTAAATTTAGCTCAGGATTAAGGGCGTTCGAATTTAGAAACGGTATCGATTTTCCTTTGTCTTTTTCCTTCCCTCTCCTTTTTGTTTAAGACTCCGCAGCAAGAGGGCAAGTCCGGTTATCCGAAGTAAAGCTGGGTATCGCGCCAGAGCGTTTCCACAACAAAAGGGTGGCCGACAAACCAGTTCTGGTGTCTTTCCCTCTGCTATTTTAGCAGAGCAGGAAACCAAAGCCTTTCTCGCGCTCTCCCCCCCCCACCACCCCTTCCCGCCCTTCTCAAAACAGCTCGAGAAACCTTCAGGTTTTGTTTTGTAAACACAAGAGTGAGGGATACATTCAAATTAAAACAAACCCTAAACAAACTTCCCCTTTTTTTTCACCCCCCATCCAACCCCCCCCCCCCCCACCCCATCCAGTCTCTCCTCCCTACACACGCACAAACTCTCTCTCTCTCTCTCTACGTCAACAGGGTTAGATATTATCCCCCTTGAGATTTTCAGGTACTATTTCCATTGTGAATTCCCCCCCCCACACACCCCCCTCCTCTCTCTCTCTCTCCCTCTCTCTCCTCCCCACCTTCTCGTAAATAAAGAAACACGTTCTGGGGTGGGGCGGGGGGTGGCGAGAGAGCGAGAGAGAGGAAGAAAGAGAGGAGTGGGTTTTTTTTCTGGAGATTTATTACAAAATAGGATTTTTTGGGGGGTGGAGGGGGGGGGGCGGGGGTTCTTCTCTCCCCCCTCTCTCTCTCTCTCTCTCTCTGAGGTTTCCTGAGATCCGATGACGGGGGGGGGGTTGTTAACCGCCCTGATTACGTGTCCAGTCCTTGCGTAATTTTATTCGGATCCCCCCCCCACCACCACCCCTACCTTTTCCCCTGTTAATTAATTGATTAATTGATTAATGTCAACTAACCCACACACCCACACGCTTACTCACACACACTGCACACTCTTCTCTCCCTGCCACAAGGGCAACCCACAGTGAGTGGATACCGGACTTACTGACACTGTGACACATACCAAGCAGCCAACACCAGTGTTTCCGATCAAACCTCTCTTTGCTTTTGCTTCTCAGAAACGCCTCCCTCCCACCACATCACGACCCAAAAAAGGAAATAAACCGCCAAACAATAACAACAGAGAAAGAGAGAGAAAAAAGGCTGTGTGTGTATATGTGTAAATGTGAGTGAGTGAGTGAGCGAGAGATGGGGGTGTGTTTTGCAATGGATTTGAAATCTTATCCACAAAACAAAAGGCTTATTTTTTATTCCTCCCCCCTCCAGAAAGAATAATTAAGGTTACGAGCTTTAAAGTAGATTTGTTTTGGATACTCTCTATATATATATATAAAAAAATTCATTCCCCCACCTCAATTTTTTCTTTAAACACTCAAAAAGTTGGCTCTGTCAAAAGTCAAGTCACCAAATTTGGCGCTAATCACACTAAACCCTCTGTGTGTACAAAAAAAACCACACACACACACACAAAACTCCAAAGACTTTGTCCTGCCAAACACACACATATACACACAACAATAATAATAATTCCTGTGTATTACACACACAATAATAATAATAATTCCTGTGTATTACACACACAATAATAATAATTCCTGTATATTACACACACAATAATAATAATTCCTGTGTATTACACACACACACACACCATTTACACACATTCACAAATAATTTAAATACAAGAATACTTCACACACACACACAAATAACTGACACACACACACACACACACACAATTTTTGTGCACACTCAATAAATAATTCAGACCCACACACACATTCATTCACAGACACAAAAAAAACCACTGACACACTTTGTTTTAAAAATAATAATAACAACAACAACCTTTGCATTTCTCTCTAAAAATAATTTAAAAATTTGCATTTTTACACAACACACACAACACAAAAATTAGCACTTTTTTTTCCCCTGGGGGTGGTGGTGGTGGGGGGGGGTGAGAAAGTGACCCCCACCCAAATAATTTGACACCCACATTTTTTTTATATACCCCCCTCAAAAAAACAACAACAACAACAACAACAACAAACCAGCCAGCTCACCGTCAAAGTCGGTGTAGACCGTGTCCTTCATGACGGCTCCCGAACCGAAATCGATCAGCTTGAGCTCCCCGGTCCTCATATCGATCAGGATGTTCTCGTCCTTGATGTCGCGGTGGACCACCCCACAGCCCTGGCAGTGCCGCACCGCCTCCAGCACCTGCACGAAGAAGGTCCTGGCCAAGTCCTCGGGCAGGGCGCCCTTCTCGGTGATGAAGTCGAACAGGTCCTTGACCTGCTCCGGCCTCTCCATGACGATGATGAAGCTGTCGGGACGGTCGAACCAGTCCAACATCTTGATGACCCCCCGGCAGCCCGCCCCCACTTTCTTCAGGAGGGCGATTTCCATCGGGACCCTGGCCCCGTTGGGCTGTGAGTTGGAATGGGATGGTGGGAGGGGGGGTGGTGGTATTGGGGGGGGAGAGAGAGGGAGGGAGGGAGGGAGGGAGAAGGAAAAAAGGAGGGAGAGAGAAAAAAAGAAATGATTTAGAATAAAAAAAAATCCACTTACAGACACAACATTCAAAGCCATTCAAATCCCTCCCCCCCAAAAAAAAACACTCACACACACACACACACACAAGTCCTTGAAATCCCCCCCCCACCCACCACCACCCTTTCTATCAAGGACTTTGTATCCCACCATGAAGACTTAGTGAATTTCAGTCTCATTATGGGGGGGGGGGATATTTAAGGGGGTGGTGTGTGTGTGTGTGTGTGGGAGGGAGACAGACAAAGTTGGTGCAGAAAAAAAACTACACCAACTCAACCCCCCAAACCCCCAACACACAAAAAAACTGGCCAAGAAACCATCCCCAACCCCAACCCCCCCCTTGAAAAAAAAACCCCTGTCATGTGTTACTCACCATCTCAGCCCAGTCGGATACTCGATCTCTGGCAACATGTTTGATAGCGACCTGAGATACACACAGAAACAACATCAACACCACTGCAAACACAGGAGGCGCTTTAACTGTGCTTTTTTCTCCCACCCCATCACCCCCACACCACCCCCCCATCACCCCCCACACCCCACCCCATCACCCCCCACCCCACACCCACCCCCATCACCCCCACCCCATCATCCCCACCCCCATCACCCCCACACCCACCCCATCACCCCCCACCCCCACACCCACCCATCATCCCACCACACCCCCCCCATCACCCCCACAGCCCCCCCCATCACTCCCATCACCCCCCCCCCCCCCATCACCCCAACCCCCATCAGAGTATTATTTATCCCTCTCTACTTATTCAGTTTAAAACCGTTGCCTTTCAAGAGAGAAGAAGAATCCAATAAAAGTCTATGTTGAATTAAAGCAGATCTGTGTCCCTGGTCCCCCCCCCCACCCCCCAGCCCCCACCCCCCAGCCCCCACCCCCCCAGCCCCAGCCCTACCCCCCAGCCCCCAGCCCCCACCACACACACCCCCATGTATAATAATGATGTGTTTGGGATGTGTAGATGTATTATGCAGTGGTCTGTACCTGCACACCGTCTGCAATTCTGCTGCCAGAATAGACTGTGCCAAAGCCTCCACTGCCCAGAACTGCACCGACTTGATACAGTTTCTCAAAAGGCTCTCTTTCTTTCACTGTGGGGGGGAGAGAGGGGGGGAGAGAGGGGGGGGGGGGGGGGGGGGGGGGAGAGGGAGGGGGGGAGAGGGGGGGGGGGGGAGAGGGGGAGAGGGGGGGGGGGGGAAAGAATTCAAGAGAGAGGGGGTTAGTGGGGTCGGTTGGGGCCACCGATTGCAATTGCAACCTCTCCCCATTGTGAGCCACTCGGAGCCCCTTTTGTTGTCTTCTCATCCACTCACACACACACACAGCGAGACCCCGGGACACAGGGGCCCTGTGACAGCACAGCCACACACTCACACACACACACAGGGCACACTCACACACACACACAGGGCACTCACACTCACACACACTCACACAGGGCACTCACACTCACACACACTCACACAGGGCACTCACACTCACACACACACACACAGGGCACACTCACACACACACTATACACTCACACACAGTGCACACACACACACACACACTATACACTGACACACACACTATACACTGACACACACACACACACTATACACTATACACACTCACACACACAGTGCACACTCACACACACACACACACACACTATACACTCACACACACAGTGCACTACTATACACACACACTATACACTCACACGCGCTCTCACACAATACACACACACACTCACCCACACTATACACTCGCATCCAATACACACACAAACGTAACGCACACACTATACAACACCCCCTCCCCCCCCCACACACAGCCCCCCCCCCACACACACACCCCCTCCCCCCCCCACACACAGCCCCCCCCCCACACACACACCCCCTCCCCCACACACAGCCCCCCCCCCACACACAGCCCCCCCCCACACACACACCCCCTCCCCCCCCACACACACCCCACACACACACTATACAACACCCCCCCCACACACACACAGCCCCGGAGCTGCCCGGGGGGGGGGAGGGGGGGGGGACAGACCAGCGGCACAACTCGGGGGGAGAAACGTTTGCAACGAAGTGCTAATGATCATCAATCACCGCCATCGGTATTACTGTTACTGTTATTATTATTGTTGTGACTTTGTGGCTGGGGGAGGGGGGGGGCTCACCTTGCTGTAGTTGGATCTGTGTGGGGGGGGGCTGTGGGGGGGCTGTGGGGGGGGGCTATGGGGGGGGGCTCACCTTGCTGTGTGTGTGTGTGGGGGGGGGCTGTGTGTGGGGGGGGGCTCTATGGGGGGGGGGGCTCACCTTGCTGTGTGTGGGGGGCTGTGGGGGGGTGGGGGTGTGTGGGGTGGGGGCTATGGGGGGGGGCTCACCTTGCTGTGTGTGGGGGGGGGGCTGTGTGGGGGGGGCTCACCTTGCTGTGTGTGGGGGGGGCTTGGGGGGGGCTGTGGGGGGGGGCTCACCTTGCTGTGTGGGGGGGGCTGTGTGGGGGGGGGGCTATGGGGGGGGGCTCACCTTGCTGTGGTGTGGGGGGGGCTATGGGGGGGGGGCTCACCTTGCTGTGTGGGGTGCTGTGTGGGGGGGGCTATGGGGGGGGCTCACCTTGCTGTGTGGGGGGGGGGTTGGGGGGGGGCTATGGGGGGGCTCACCTTGCTGTGTGTGGGGGGGGGCTGTGTGGGGGGGGGCTCTATGGGGGGGGGGCTCACCTTGCTGTGTGGGGGGGGGCTGTGTGGGGGGGCTATGGGGGGGCTCACCTTGCTGTGTGGGGGGGGCTGGGGGGGCTATGGGGGGGGCTCACCTTGCTGTGTGGGGGGGGGCTGTGTGTGGGGGGGGCTGTGTGGGGGGGGCTGTGGGGCTACCTTGCTGTGTGGGGGGGGGCTGTGTGTGGGGGGGCTGTGTGGGGGGGGGCTGTGGGGCTCACCTTGCTGTGTGGGGGGGGGCTGTGTGTGGGGGGGCTGTGTGGGGGGGGGCTGTGTGGGGGGGGGGCTGTGGGGGCTATGGGGGGGGGGGGCTCACCTTGCTGTGTGTGGGGGCTATGGGGGGGGCTATGGGGGGGTGGGGGCTATGGGTGGGGGGCTATGGGGGGGGGCTCACCTTGCTGTAGTTGGATCTTGTTCGGCACATCCACACTCGATGTCGAGTACATATGAGCGAGTGATCCGATCTTTGAAAGCAGCATCGCCTTCACCCCCAAACACCGCGGGTCGCAGAATAGATGGGACAACGCTTCCCCTCTCTCTCCTCTCTCTCTCCTCTTCTCTCTCTCTCTCTCTCTCTCTCTCTCTCTCTCTCTCTCTCTTCTCCTCTCTCTCTCTCCTCTCCTCCAAAGAAAAAAAAAGATTCCAACCAGGAATCGATGGATGGATCGATGGATGGATCGCTGGTCTTGATGGATGGATTTGATTGATTGATTGATTGATTGATCGATCGATTCAAACCAGGAGACCAAGAGAGAGAGAGAGAGAGAGGCGCACAGTGTAGAGAGTCTTAGGGGTGTGTGTGTGTGTGGGGGTGTAAAGAAATACGTGGGTTCGATCACCACCACCACCACCACCACGTTGGAACGAAACCACACACACAACACAGTCGATCCACAAATCTCCCTCTTCTTTCTCTCTTTTCTGTCTCTTTCTCTCTCTCTATATATATATAAATCAATATATATATATATATTAAAAAAAACGAGACGTTTCTTCTTTAAAGTCCAAAGCTTGCGATGTTCTCTCCTCTCCAGATGTTGGTGGCAATGTATATGTGTATATATATACACACACACTGAGGATTCCCAAAGTCCCTTTAAAAACGCAGAGTTAAGTTGTGGTGTTCCTTCTCTCTCTCTCTCTCTGTGTGTCTGTCTGTCTCTCTCTCTCTCCTTCTCAAGGAGAACGATGGCCACGAGAGAGAGGGGGGAAAAAAAAATAACAGCAGTGCCCCCCACCCACCCCACCCTCCACCCACCTTTTGTTTTTTCTTTTCCCCCCCAACAAAAAGAAATAAAAAAGAATAATATAAAACAGCAACTGCAACAGCACCAGCAAACCAACCAGAGAGAGACACAGGAGAGAGACAGACAGACAACACACAACAGCAACAAGAAATGAAACCAAACAGATCAAAGTTCTTTGTATATCACAGTCACACACACACACACACACAGTCACACACACACACACTGGTTGTGTTGTGTGTTGGTTGTGTTGTGTTGGTATTGAGTGACTCTCTCTCCTCTCCTCTCCTCTCTGTCCTCTCCTCTCTCTCTCTCTGAGCTCACTCTGCTACTGGCAACGACTGTACACAGATAGTAAAAAAAAATTGGGGTTGAGTCGTTTGTAACATCACTCCAAATCCCTCCCCTCCTCTTTCTCTCTCCTTTTTACTCCCTCCCCCTCTCTCTCTCTCTCTTCTCTCTCTCCCTTCTCTCCTCCTCCTCTCCTTTTTACTCCCTCCCCTCCCCTCCTCCTCCCAAAGGCACTGCCTCCCTCTTGTGTTTGAGTCAGTAACACCCAATGGAGGCAAAGCGACTTACACACATACACACACACACACACACACAAAAAAAATAGAATGAAATTGAGTAGACACGACGTGGCGGGAATGAGTACCCGCCAAAAAAAAAAAGATACATATACATATATATATTTATCTCCTTTTTTCTACTATGTGAATATAAATTGCTTTGATGCATCTTGTCTGGCTGCAGACACATTTTTTTTTCTCCCCCCCCCACACTCCTCCATCACTCACCCCCACTCACCCCACTCCCCCCCAAAAAAAATATTAATGATAAAAAGAGAGATGGGGATAAACTGATGAAAGGTCTCTCTCGATTTCTTTTGAAGCAGTGGAGAAATGCAATGCAATTTTTAATTTAAATGTTCTTCCCCCCCCCCCCCACCATCCCTCACCCCCCCCCCCCCCACCACCTTTCCCTCTCCCCATGCAATTCACTGTGCAATGCAATTGCTTTGTTTGACATTTTTTTATATCTATAAAAAAATATATATATCTCTGTTCAAAAAAAAATTCCAGGTGTTTTAAAATAAACGCGTGGGTAGTTTTTGGTGGAGGGTTTTTTTTTGGGGGGGGGTGGGGGGTGTTTTTTTTATTGCAATAAAAAAAAGTATTGGTGCAGACTGTGTGGGTGGAGGGGTGGGTGGGGGGTGCAGGTAGGAAATTTCAGCTACTTTTTAAGGACAATCTCTGTGCTTTTTTTTGAAGGGGACACTCAGATGGTTGGAATCCACGACAAAGACAGTGTTGCAGAGAATGAATGCAGCGTTGAAACTTTTCCACAGACACAGACACAGAGAGAGCAGATTACTCCCATCCCCTCTGAAAACACACTCCACGTGTACCTCGATTTCTCTCCCAAACCCCACCCCCCCTTTTTTTTGCATTCAAATTCAAGGAAAATTGGTGTGAATAAATTCACCCCAAAAAATTATTGATCTGCATTGATCTACAAGTCCACTGGGGATGGATTGGTTTGGGTGCAATGACTGAAAACACGTGGCCCAAGAATATTCCTTCTTGGTAACATTTTGAGGTTTTTTTTTAAAACCCCCTTTGGGTTTTCCTCTTTGATTTATTCTGCACGTACTGCTGCGATTGAAAGGGGGTTCGTTGCAACCTGGATGAACGTGCAATAAATAAGACAGTAATAAGTCAGGAATGAGTACTGTATTCACTGTGTAATCCTGGAGTTAAAGTGTTAACATTATTATTTTAACAAAGGATATACAGAGAAGGGGAAATCCATTGTCCTTCAAAGGAGGTGTTCTCTCTCTCTCTCTCTATATATATATATATATATACACACATAATATACAATATATATATAATTATATATTTATGTAATTTTCCCCATTAAATATTTTATAGAGTTAGATTTTTTTTCTGACACATGAACCCTCACTCACTCACCCTTTGCAAATCACATTCACCCATGCCAGGTGCAAGCAGTTGGGGGAAGAGTTTTAGACTCACTCTTGAGTGCAAACTGCATTTTATTCTATTTTTTTTTGCATCCCTTAGATTGGTAATCACTGTGTGTGTGTGTGTGTGTGTGTGTGTGCAAAAGAGTTGAGATGTGGGTTTGATTCCCCAGCCTGATACTAACATGAGAGTGGGAGGGTGTGGGTGTGTGGAGAGAGAGAGAGAGAGAAAGGTAGAGGTGAGGGGGGAGGAATGTAAATATTTAAGAAATAAAACGATCTGAAAAAGAAATGCCATGCATTAATTGTTCTTAGGTGACTCCTAGTAGATTCTTGTGTGTGTGTGTTTGTGTGTGTGTTTGGGGTTGGGTTGGTTGGGATGAATGATTGCAGAATTTTTTTTTGGGGGGGGGGGGGGTTGGATGGTGGTTAGGAAGGTGGGGGTTAAGTGGTTGGGTTTTGTGATCAGTTGGAACAATTTCTCTCTCTCTCTCTTTCTCTCGAGGGGGGAAAAAACCCACAGGCAATGCAAATCTGTTTTCAATGGTGCCAGAGAGAAAATGCTGCATTCCTCACATACTTTCAAATTGGGTGGTTACTGCTCTCTGGACAATGTGGGAATGAATCACAAGGGAAGGGAGGGGGTGGTAGTTGGTGGTTTGGGAGGAACTGCTGCCTTATTCTCGTGATCAGGTATAAGTTAACAGCAAACAGAACAGAACCGACCATAGTCGATGGAGGTCGCTGCCTGGAAAAAAAAATTCCACACATGAAAGGCTTTTTTTTTACACATTGCAACGCATCACGGCTCAGGAATTTCCTTTCATTGCCTTTTGCTTCCTCTTCAAGGGGCTGGCTGGGGTTGGAGAAGGCGGCGGGGGTGCGGGGTGGGGGGAGAGGGACAGAGGAAAGGATGGATGGTCGGTGCGTTGAGACGTTGTTGTTGTTGACGGTGGTAACGACAACAGCTTGCATTTATGTAGCATCCTTCGCGCCGGGAGCACTTAACGGTATCTCAGATGGCAGCGTCTGATTCAAATCACATTTTACCGATTCTGGTATTGGTGCTAGCCGATCAAAACAGGGGGAAAAAAGCAACTGAACTGTCATTTTAGAGAGTGGTTGACCAAAGAAAACTCAGCTTGGTATCTTACATCGTAATTTGTTGTTGTTATTGTTGTAATCCAGAAGTTTTCGGTTTTGTTTTATTTCTTTTTAATTTCCCTCATCCTTTAGGAAAGTTTCTTTACTTCACAGGCCTCTGTTTACCTAGCGATGAGTAGGAACCCGGTTGTAAATCGATTGGCAGATCGCATTTAAGGTGGTAATAATCCCTTTTTTAAAAACATTTGGTCACTCAATCCACGACTGTTTGTGGGACGCTGCTGTACACTATTGGCTGCCACGTTTGGTTCACAAAGCATACAATGAATTCATTTTGCAGCACCCTGTGAAACGCTTGGAGATGTCCCAATGCGCCCAATGATAAGGCGCTATATCAAATACATGAATTATTACTATTATCCTTCCAGAGGCACAGAATTTGGACTAGTCTGAGCCTTTTTTGTCTTAAAATTGAAGATTATGTAAAATATGCACACAGCAATGTCCCCCAAACAGCTATGATGTCTCACAGTACTTTACAGGATATACTGTAACGTGAAGTGACTGGGTATTTGTGGGTGAATACAATTGTACACAAGTGCTCAACGATGTCTCAATAACCTTTAAGTTTCTATTCTTCCTTCTGTGAAAGTACCTTGTTTCTGCTTAGGGAGCAATACAATCATCTCTATAAGAGATGAATCAGTGTAAAAGGGAAAAGATAAGTTGATTTAGAAAAAAACTCTTAACACTTTGATGAGTGTCTAGTTGCAGATTGAATCAATACACCGAACTTGCTGCCTCTATTACAGTACAAAACTAATCACAGGCACTATACAACCAGGGCACGTGTGCACAGGAATATTTTGTTACTGTATGATGTAGACTATTGCTGTATTCATTCTCAAAGGGACAGAATCTATAGAAGCCGTGTTAAAGACAGACAGACACAATCATCAGAGATAGACATCAGAAGTAAGGGTATTAGTGGGTTTGGTAAAATAACAGAAATGGGATTAAAAAGATTAAAGAACAACTTGCACTTATATAGCACCTCTCGCGTAGCATAAAGTCTCGAAGCACAGATCATCAAAGTGCACAAAACCCATCACATGATCACAAAGGTTGCTTTCGATGAAGAAGGCTCTTTGGTTCTTTTGATCTCATCCCACTCTGCCGTCCTCCCATCACAGCATCAAGCTGTTTTTTTAAAAAAATGCGTCCAGCATCCCCACCTCGACCATCCATTCTGGTAGCCATTCAAGCCATTAATTACCCTCTGGGTAAAAAAAATAAATAC